GCAAAGCTTAGGTACCTCTATCACATGGCTGCGAGGTAACATCGAATTGCCTCGCAAACCTAAACTTTCATAATCGTGTCCTGAAGACTTTGCTCCTGAGCTGTTTCTCTCGAAGCTGGCCAGAAGTGGGCTGATGCATCTGGCAGTACGTAGCGGAGCGAGTTTAAGTAATCTCGGGGCGCTAATATTTTATGAAGTAATAGACCAAAAAGTGACAATGACAATATGTCATGTATCAATTTAGTACAATTTTGTATACGAGATAATATTCTTCCCATAATATCCTAGCTGTGTTCAATGGGTGAAACATCGGTAGATCTAGAGGCCAAGGCAGCAAGTAGCATTGATTGTCTTCAATTCTGATAATAGAAATCAGAGCTAGTTGTAAGGGACAGTGTTAGATCATTTTCTGATATGAGCTTGGCAAGAGCAAATTTCCAGTTTACTGGGAAAGTTACGAATTCCTAATATATCTGGAAGAGACGCGAAAAAACTGGAGCAGGCTGTTCTGCACATCTCTTCTGTACAACAGCAGGAATCAAGCCCGTGTCAGAAGCTATGTTGGTGTTCAGCGACAAGAGCACTCGTCTTGAGGTCTTATGCCTGAAGCTTACTGGAGGGTTTCTGCCTGAGAGTGACTATAAAAGCTTTCCTCTTTCAAAAAACAGCATGAGGGGCATCCATGGTGGAGTTGACTGCTTATAATTTAGCCTTGAGTCGGGTTCAATTGTTGAACCAGCCGATGGACACTGGCTTAGACACTTTCACTGCATGAAGGACCCATCCCAGCGTGAATAATTATATTTCTGACACCGACGCAACAGTCAGCAAAACAACCATCTGTCTCAGGAAAGATGGAGAAAAAGTCTCTAAGCCCTTCCCAGTCAGCATATCGGTAAGGCCAGATCTTGAGGCGTGGCCGAGTTTCTGACTGAAAACTGACCTCTTTTTTTTTCGTTTTTGGCATTTAGCCAGAAACTAGGTTGGTATTCTACGTACAATTCTAATTTATGGACAAACACACGACGTCACAACATCTATGGCGAAGGCGAGATTCGAACTCGCGGCCCGGCCGGCCGGCTGATCAGTAGTACGACACTCTGACCCACGCAGCCAACCGACGTCCCAAAAAAAAAACTGACCTCTTCAACACCGTGATCTGAGTTGCCCAGAGGAGTCACGACATTTTTACCGTAATGGACAAGATGCATGGTCAAAAACTGATCCAGCAGGCTACTGGCATGTGACGAAACGCGGGGGAGAAAATATGGCTTGACACCAGCTGGATCAATCCTTGAGTAATGGCGAACGCTTCAACAGCACGACCTGCTGCATCGGTCTTGCTTGAGCCCAACCAAAGCTCATTGAAATTACCGAGGAGAGCTACCTCTGAAGCAGGGTTATTGATGTTAAGGAAGCTGATCCTGACAGCGTTTGGTGTACGATGAACATAGTAGCATACGGGTTCCCGGACTACATCTCCACTATTTTCATCTCCTGCTAACGGGATAGGAGATTTCCTTTATAAAAATCGTCTGCTGTACCATTAAGCGACTATCTAATGCAAAAGGACATAGACGGGATGTGAGCGCGAGTTACCGTTTCTCCATTAATCACCAGACTACCTGAGCATGTGATAGGAATTGTTAGGCAGTGCACGCTATGAAAGCATCAGACTTGCGATTATGCTAAGATGTTTCTCCTCACTTGAAAAACATACGTGCATGTGATTGATTTACAGATCTCACTAATACAAAATTGTATAAGCCTGTCAGATCCACTGGTTTGTACTTATATAATGACTTCAGCAGCCAGAAAGAATCCAAGTGCTGGATTTGCTTCTACAATGTCTTTCACGGACAGTCAAAATACCTCATATTATTATTATATTTGTAATGAACTAAATTCAGATCTGGTTTCCTTGAGCTCATTTAGAATTTATTAAGATTCATATTTACCGAAGTAGTGATAATAAAAACAACAATAAAAATATAACAACCATACAATTAACCGCAAAAGAAGTCACAAGTCACAACAGTGTAACGAAGGATATTAAATTGTGAGGTCATTTTGCATATTTACAAAAACAATTAAAATTTATTGCTTCCTTGAATTACGAACTATGTATTTTATTGCGCCCGAACAATGCATTCCATAACCAATCAAAACTGTTTTTCCTCAGTTCAGCTTTGTTTGAGGTTTTGGTGAGCTTGCTAAGACAGACTGCCCAAACAGCCACAGGTACATCTGATAGAAGCAAGATCGGACTGTACGTAAACAGCACCTAGCTTCCTGTTGGGCGTCCAAATACCACAGAAACATGTGTCAATACAATAACTTGAACATATGAAAATGTTAGTAAAGTCGAACCGGAACTGTGAGATTCAAAAGGAAATTAACGAGAGCACTAACCCTTAACAATAATTGAAATAGTGACAAAACAGAGCTGTTGAAAAAAAGTCAAAAGTTTGCATAAAGCGCTAAAGCAGACTAACTGTATCGTGGTGATGGCTATTGTAATCACGTCAAATAATGACAACGTGTATAAAGGTTTTCCAGTACCCTTGGGCAGTACATGCGCTTATACCACTTCTGTGTATTTGATTTCACACTTGATGGTTCCATTTTTTTTTGCTATTACAATTAAGATCAGGATTTGCTATAATAAAAGATGTATATCCAAGCACTTTTGATGTAGCAATTAGCAGGATTCTTCAAGCCTTCTTATCCAAACACGCTGTTGCATACACACATACAGCGTATTATAGATCTAATCCAAGATGCGGCTCAGCAGGTGTGTAGTCTACACTTAGCATTTTTACCAATCCCAACTGAAGTCGAATCGAAATCGCAACTGCAATTTTTACGTAGCGTCATTAAAGTGTATGTGTGTGTCAGCGCCGTAATAAGTTGTATTTTATTTTCTGTTACTCGTACGCAGGTGTTCTCGTTAGATGTTAGCGACCAATCTGAGTTATCGTTTCCTTATAAAACTACCGGTGAGCTAGGAGTTCGAATAAAGAAAACGGGATAGAAATTCATACAGAGAGAAGAAGGTTTCTTTCTTTTTATCAATTTCCATACTGCTAGTTAAGACAAGAATTTCAGTATTATCGTAAATAAGCTACATAATGATGAGGCATCACTGTAAGTCGTATGATAAAAAAGGAGAATTGTATTTGCATTTTGTCTTCCGTAATACCGGGTGTGATGATATGGTGGGTCAACTGAAACCAGATATAGTACCTTAATACTACTAATACTATCGAATCCACCCCCGTTTTGTCTTTTCCAAGTTTAGGAGATAAGTTTACTTTTGTGAAATTCTAGAAAAAGCCTGATATTGATACTTTTCAAGTACAGCCAAACGTCAGGCTTATTGTTGTGACTTTGTTCAGTGGTGTGATAATGTTTTTTTACACACTGTGGTGTTTTGGGGACAAGCTTCATAAAAGTCTGAATACATAATAAATCTTTTGCTGGGTAGTTTTCAGTTCTCTCCTCAATGTTCAAGGGTTGTTATGCCGCCCTATCGTTTCCTTCAGAATGTATTAAAGAACTAATAATCCCATGATGAATTTACATCAACGTATACAATAATAATATCGGTTGAAACATCTGCCTTCATTATCTTGAAATCGGCTAACAACACAATTATCTACAAACACTCACACTTTTGAGAAATAACACTAAAAATATGAATTCAATGACAGAACTGTCAAAAAATTAATTTATGTCAAGTCCACTTGTACAAACAAATCGTAGGCTTCTACCCAGACTGCACATTACGGTTTACTTTTTTCGTATGGCATTGTGACGTAGTCTCCAAAAACCGTAAAAACAAAATATATAATAATAATGTTTGTTGGAATAACGTACACAACATCGTTATCTTACAATAAACATAAAATACCCAAAGTAGCTTGAACTTGTGCCTGGGTTAACATGATAATGAAAAAATACCAATTGGTAAGTACACTAACGTTGAATAATGCAGGTATTACAATATGTGTATGGTATAAGATTCGGCTAAATTGTTCAGACAATTTTCGATGTTAAAGTGCTTAGGATATTTTTCCTTAAATGCGGTTCAAACATAAATACACGCATGGTATACGTAAATTACTTTGATCTCTATAATGATTTTATAATGTCTATATGTTTATGGACCGAGTTCCTTGGTTCCTGTATAATCGATGACTTGGATTTCCTTTTCAATACTGTTTGATGTTTGAATAATCTTTATTGATGCCGAAATATGATTGAAAATTTTTAGGCCTAAAAACAGAAGAGATCTTTGACTGTTGGTTTTTGTAGATTTTCGCACAGAATTTTGTTTAAGTCTTGTTTGATAGTTGTGATTGATAGAATTCAGGTGCATCTTATTTTTAATATGTCAATTCATTGTAAAAGTAGATTTGTCAAACGTCTGGGAAATTAGCATCTAAGCAAAGATTATTGGTTCAATATGAGGGATAAGCTTTAGTATCTACTTCTGTGCGATTTCAATCTTTTTATAGTAATTTTTTATGAGTCCTTCCCATGCTAATATACCATATGGTATAGAATAGGGTAGAAAAGAGTGTGGTAGAGAATTTAGATGGTCTTTGTTCCAAAATCTACTAAAGTACTTGAATTTTGGGGTATGTTGATCTTAGTCTGTTCACTAGCACGTTTGTGTATACATTCCACTTTACATATAAGTTGTTGTCTGGTATTAAACCTAATTATTTAATTTTGTTAAGTAACTGGATTACTTTAGGATCATATTTAATTTAAAATTTAAGTTTACTGTAGATACAAAGATAGTCTTTCATCACAAGAGAATGCTACGAGGGATGTCTTTTAAGTTTTGCATATAGAAACATAGTAGGCCGCGCGGATCGAACGTCAGTACTGAATCTTAACGTCAGTCTCTAGTAAACTTAAATTCCAAGTTTCACAACAATACGTGCAGTGTTCTCACTACAGTGAATTTTTAAGTGTCACCAAGTCATTAGAAAAATGGAACTCAACCGAGAACATTTTCGCGCCATAATTTATTACATCTTTCAGAGACAATTATCGCATCACGAATGCCTTGCTGAGTTACTGTCTGTTTTCGACAACGAAGCGCCACATCAGTCGACAATTTGCCGTTGGTAAGGAGAATTCAAGCGTGGACGGGTGAGTCTTAGCGACGATCCCAGGGTGGGTGCACCAAAAACGGCAGTCACCCAGGAAAACGTCGATGCTGTGCGCAAACTCATCATTGAAGATAAACATGTGACATATCGCGAGATTGAAGCGTCCTTGACGATCTCAAAGACCTCAATTCAAAAAATTTTACATGAAGAATTAGGAGTAAGAAAATTAGTTTCTCGTTGGATACCCCACCTCTTCACTGAAGAGCAGAAAGCAACCAGGGTTAATTGGTGTCAAAAAACGCTTGACCGTTTCAATTCCGGAAACTCAAAAAATGTGTACAGCATTGTTAGTGGTGATGAATCGTAGATTTACTGTTATGAACCAGAAAATAAACGACAGTCGGCTGTTTGGGTGTTCCAAGGTGAAGAAAAGCCAACAAAAGTCATCCGTTCTCGAAGTGTTTCGAAAAAGATGGTCGAGACATTTGTGTCAAAAGCGGGTCATATTGCAACAATTCCTCTTAATGAGCAAAGAACTGTTACTGCGGATTGGTATCCCACCATTTGTTTGCCAAAAGTCATCACCGAGCTTCTAAAAATCAACCCTGAAAGAAGAATCATCCTCCACCAAGGCAATGCAAGCTCGCAGTCCAAAAAACAAGGCAGTATTTAACGGAAGAAAACGTGGAATTTTTAGACCACCCTCCATATAGTCCCGATCTAAGTCCTAACGATTTCTTTACTTTCTAGAAAATTAAAAATAGACTGCGTGGTCAAAGGTTCCAGTCACCAGAAGAAACAGTTGACGCATTCAAAAATGACGTTTTGGATCTGCCACCAAACGAGAGGAATGAGTGCTTCCAAAATTGGTTCGAGCGCATGCGGATGTGTATTAACCTTCGTGGAGAATACTTCAAAAAACAATAAAGTCATTTAAAACTACCTACCGTGTTGTTTTATTTCCATATGCAAAACTTAAGAGACATCCCTCGTATTAAGTATGTCTTTTTTATAATTTATAACCATAGTTCTTTCTGAAAAAAAAATTATAGTTGTATAATCGTTCTTAATTTCAATTTTTATAGTGCGCCAATCATTACTTGTATTGCGAAACTGATGATTCCGCCATCAGTATCTAAGAATCTAAGTCGAAAATATCGTTGATACATAAATTCAAGATCCTGAACCCTGGAGTACCCCATAAGTCATCTGTTCTGCGCTTAAAGCATTGTTTATTTCAGCACACTGATTTCTATTCGATAAACAACTTTCAGCTTATGTGTGGTACCTCGGAATCCCAAGTTTTCCTCACCGGCCAAAAGAGATTTGTTTCTGTTGGTATCGAATATTTCGAAAAGATCAACAAAAATGCAAGCAGTTGGCTTACGTGTATCCACGTTTTCATATATTTTATTAGTTAATGCATAATCGCATCTTTTGTTGATTTTCCATCCTGAAATCCGTATTGTTAGGCAGATACATTGTTACATTTTTTAGTGAAATCTGTAAAACACTGTTTGAAAACTTATTGAGGTAGTCGTAGTTGATCTGGTATTACACGGTTTTTTCTGTTTCACAAGATTTATTTTTTTCAATGCATAAGTTCTGATTTTGTCTAAACCTGCGGCTTTTCTTCCTTTCAGTACATAAATTAGGTTCACTATTTCGTGTTCATCTGTTGGTGATAGATATGAGTCATGTTTTCTAGACTTACTATAACTTTACTCCATTGTCGAAAAATATTAGCAGAATTCATTAGCTGTATCATTATTTGTTAGTTCAGTATTGTCTTTTCATTTGAAGTTATTGCATTTTCACGTTTTTTGCTTTGATTTCTTTCGACAGAATGTCACATCTTTGTACAGTTTTGAAAGTTAACTTCTTCTATGATATATTTTAGCTTCGCTGCTTTCATTACAGTGGTGAGTCCATTTTGGTAATAGTTTCTACAGAAGCATCTACCTCACACCGATAGCAACACTGACTTCTTTTTAATTATTGTACAAATAACCATCTCATCCGAATGTCGCTCCTGCAGAGGTAACGGACTTCGCTGGTTCAGCGCAAATCCTCATTCGAGTCCGGAAGATTTGCAATTCCGATGCGCCGTAGAATATTAAAAGATGATTACAACGACAGAACGACAAAGCCGAGGTCCACTGCATGACGGAACACTAACCGACTAACCGACTACCACTGCTCGTATGCAAATGTAATCCCCTAAATCGACAAAAGAATAACTGGCTGCTACTGTCTCGAATGCTTTACAGCTAAGCCGTGCAGACTTAGGTAGGGACTATCTGTTCAGGGAAGGTACATTTTCAATAATTATTTGAAAAGGTTAGTATCTTGTAGAAGACGTTATAGCTATACTATATACAGGGTTTCACAACTTATCCGAAAAATCTTTACTATATGTTACGAAAGAAGTTGATTTCTCAAAAAAATGTAATAAAAGTCCTACAGGAATTAAATTATAAACCTGAGTTTCAATAATAAATTGAAAAATAAATATCGATTTTACATTTCTAGTTATTTATTAATAAAAATGGCACATGTGTACACTAATGAGGAGTTAGTAGACATTGTTTTAGGGTACGGAGAAGCAGGGCAAAATTCGCGAGCGGCTTCTCGATTGTATGCACACCGATTTCCGAATAGGCACATACCACATCTCGAAACATTTAGTTCAATTGTTTTACGTGCACGTGCAAGTGGAGATTTGCGCCCCAGACGTGGAGTGGATGGGGGTCGGTTTCGCTCACAATGCGTTTCAAATGCCGAAGACGAAATCTTTGATATTGTGGAAGAAAATCCGGGACTAAGCACAAGACAGTTAGCCCAACAGATCCCAGAAGTATCACATGCAACAGCGTGGCACATATTACATGAGGCCCAACTGTACCCTTGTCACGTCCAGAGAGTCCAGGCGTTGCTACCTACAGACTGCTCCCTAAAAGTACGATGTTGTGAGTGAAGAGAATGCTCGAAATGACCGTTTTACAGCTGATATTTAGGCCACCGGTGATGCTATTTGTACTCGTAATGGGATAACCAATCTTCATAATACACACGTTTGTTCCTTAGAGAATCCTCACGCAGTGGTCTAGACACACTTCCAACATCGTTTTTCTCTAACGTGTGGGCAGGTATTGTCGATGAATGTCTAATCGGACCGTTCATGTTACCAGATCGGATGGATGGTCACCAGTATTTGGAATTTCTTCGGAATCAATTGCCGGTCTTTCTTGAAGATGTGCCATTGGCGGTCTGAGCACGGATGTGGTTTCTGCACGATGGGGCACCTGCGCATTTTCGTTTAGGAGTTCGTGATTTTTTTGAATCAGGTATACCAGATATTCTGGATCGGAAGGGGTGGACCAATTGCATGGCCTCCACGGTCTCCCGATCTAAATCCTCTGGACTTTTTTTCATGGGGATACTTGAAAAACGAGGTATACCGTACTCCAGTTCAGAATATTGATGAATTGCGTGACCGAGTCACAGTGGCTGCCGATAATTTGAGCCTTCAGGCACAGCAGGAAGGAGGTGTATTTGAATTAGTGCGCCGAAATTGGATTAGACTCGCCTAGGATTTCATTGCAGTTAATGGAAACAAATTTGAGCAGCTTTTATAAGTAAGTGATCTGTTAAGCTGTATTATTTCATTATCTCGATTTATGTAGAACTTTTATTAAATTTCTTTTTTTTTTTTGAGAAATCAGCTTCTTTCGAAACAGTGCATATGTGGTTAAAATGTATCGGATAAGTTTTGAAACACCCTGTATAGTTGGGTATAGACCCAACAGACATCTCAGGTTATAATTACGTTTATTTCACCAACAAATAGGTTATTATAATTTAAAAAAAGGTTATATTTGCATCAAAGCCTTTTCCCTAAGTGTCGAATAAAGCCAAAGTAAGTTAGAAGTCAATTTTATGTCGATGGGGCACTTATTACTAATAGGTTGAAGCATATAAATCACTATCTAGATCATTTTTTGATTAAATCATAATAATTTTGTCCTATGAAATCACATGAGTCTGGCATAAATTTAATAATATAGAAAACCTATGTCGCTCCCTCTTGCTCATACATACAGTTGGTAAGCTATTGGTTAAAAATAATATTAGCTTGTGTCTATAGCCAACTGTGTCATGATTGTCACTAAATAATTTCGAAATTGTATTTTTGGTCATAAGTGAACGAAGAATTTATGCGGCTGAATTTTTTTCGTCATATGAGTCCAAAATAATTACCAAAAATTCAGGGGCATTAGAAATAAGCTAAATTAACTAATTTTGTTAACCATTTTAACGAGATACTGTGATAACAAAATAACTTCATATTTTAAGAACTCTTTGCTTTAAGGTGCGAAGTTGTTAATTATGTAAAAAGTAACGTGTTTCTTTATGATTTAGATATTTTTGGAAGAAGCAACATAATATGTCAACAATAAGGTAATGTGTATGGTTTAATATTAAATCTTTACTACGATGCAGGTCGACATAACATGCATTTCTAACTTTATGGTTGAGTTTCCCCAAATTCAGACCTAATAATTACTTAGAGGTCCAAGTCCCAAGTCCAGGAGAAACTAGCTCATGGTCTCCATTGATTGCTCGGCAAACAATTTGACATTAAATAATTTTTCAGTTTGATGTATGTCGGCTGTATTTTTCAGTTTCCCTTAGCTGGCGAGATGTGTATGAATTATACTACAACCCACTTCGCATTGCATGTATACGATAACAAATCCTTGTCAGGAATTTTTCCCCTCTCCGGGATCATTCTCTCTTTAAATTACAGTCGCTGCCTAATCCAGAAAGAGAGAGATAGATGGACGTATCCGGGTGCGTTCATTAGTAGCGTTTGGTGTTTGATTTTGATAGTTCTGTGGTTTATACGCCTTTGTAATGTGTGTTTTTTTAAAATCCCGTATTCAGCTCGTTCCAAAGCAAACAACACTAGGATCTGAGGCGTTTCATAGAGAAGAAAAAAATCACGTCGAAATTACGTTCTGTATCACACAATCCAAATGTATTACACTGTAGTGAGCAGAACGCATCATTACTACAGTACTTCGAACGCGCATACGCAATTAAAAAAATCGTGATAGCTGGGTCTCTTTTGATAATCCGATAGTATTGTGAGGTATCTTAGGCCTCTTTCAATTTTAATTTACTAAATTATTTTTAAATATCACTGAAGAAACTAGCGCACGTTGCAAATTGAAAGAACCGGCAGCCAAACAGTATTTAAGATTAGTAAGGGGAGGACCAACCAAATTGGTATTTTTGGGCCTTACAAAACATTTCTACTTAGAAGTGCGTGAAAACAGACCTTTTTCCTTCAAAGTTAGTGTCGATGTCGAAATCTAGACGAACATGTACTAAAAGAATCATTGAAACCTTAAGGTGTACAAGAAGGGTTATTTAGTAGTCATATTTACCTGTCTATTACCAATTTATGTTACAAGCTTAGCAGGAATTTATATTTATCATTAATAAGATAATTGTTACTTACCAATATGCCCTAAGAACATAAAAACCTAACATGGAGGCCATATTTTAGGTGATATTAGTTAAGCTATAACCTCTGGATTTGACTTCCAGGTCAATAAAATTCTCTAAGTACTTTTGTAGTATTGAACTAACCAATTTCACCTCTTGGCCAAAGGCCTAGCAGCGCCCTAATTTGGTACGTAGTTATCTTCAGGTAGTATGTGTTAATTACAACAGTAACCGAATCTCATTAAAAATCAAAACATATTTTGAATAATGAACATAGGAAAAGCTCCCTACAAGGGTTTAGAGTGGAAATTCCGAACAATGTATTTTCAAGTTACGGTTTTGAACTAATTCGTTGCGTAGTACCAATCAAGAAATTGAACCAAATCT